TATAGAGTGATTGTAAAACAAAGTGGTTTGAACCTTTAGGCAGGAATGTCACGTGGAAGATGCCTGAGTGACTCTTGTATAATCTCTCAGTTCTTCCAGTTAATGTGCAAAACTTTACTCATAAAAAGATTGCAAGGTGAAAGGAAATGCAGTTAGCTTACTTAATAATTTAATAAATGCTTGATCAGAAGAGTGACACTGCAGCCTAAATGGCACAGCTCAACTACTTCCTTGTAATCTTACAGTAACATCTTTCCCAGAGAAGTCTAGCGTTATTCCACATTATGTGTATATTATTCTTTTGTATTTACTTATTAATTAGCACTGAAAATAAGTCCCTTCCCCTTTAGTAACTTTTGATTTTTTTTTCCTAATCTACTGGATTCATTTTATGTTTCTAAACTACTGTTAAATGTTTAACAGATATATTTAGTAATTTGTTTTCCCAACTGCATAACAGTATCAAAATAGCTACTCTAATCTCTACTCTGAAGTCATTTAAGGAATGTTTTATGAGAATTTAATGTGCTAAATGCATGTAAGACATTGGCATTAAAGTTCTATAGGTTTATGTCAAAGCACACAGAATCAGTATGAAAAATAGCATGCTTTGGCAGATCATCAGAGTGCTTTGAAAGTGGAAAAATTCACACTACTGCCATCACTTAGCTACATCTACTTAGAACTGGTTGCTATCAAATGTTAAGACATATTGAAGTGTAACAATATATAGTAAGCAGCTCTGGTATGGCCAACACATCCTGAAGATACACCTGATTCTTTCTTCTATCCACTTATATGTGTCTTACAGAGCTGTGCCAGCATAGCAAATTATCTTGGTTTTCAGAGCCATGCAATTTGCTCCTGCATTGTCCCCGAGTAAGTTTGTCTTTAACACTTATTTCACCAGTCTTGTGTTTTTCATGGAATTGCCCATAGAATTGGCCTGGAAACTGTATTTATGCTCCTCTAAGCAAAAGGTTCTCCATAAGTCAGTACTGACTTGATAGCACATCATCATCATTATCATCACCATTCAAAACCACCAGGCACAGTCAATCAAAATTATAAAAATATTGGCTGGTATTATATAACAGATACATGCTTTAACCAAAACCTAAGTATATGTTAAATATCAGCACAGTATTTATGCTGTTCCTAATATTGGTGGGTTTTGTAGCTCTGATGGTATATTTCTGAGATCTGCTTATAGTACTGTGTGAAATTTCTTGATATTGGTCCCAAAGCCCTGATGACTATTATTGGTATTACATTTCTTGATATTGGTCCCAAAGCCCTGATTACTATTATTGGTATTATTGGTATTATTGGTATTATTCAGTGAGAGGCAGGGTTTTCAAAATTAATTTAATTATTGATTTATCAATTTTATAAATTATTTATCAATTGATTGTTATAACCTTCATCTGACATCTTGATGGTAATTTTATAAAGCCATGGAGGAAACAGGCTAATTAGTATTTTTCTTTTTTATTGTACCCTTAGACATGAAATATCAGGTTAGGTAAAAATATCTCATGAAGTATATGAGTGTATGAGTAAACTAATATGAATATGAATTTGTTACACTGTACTAAAAATTATTTTACCACCATAATCCTTTATGACAGGATAATAAGTAATAAAACAGTGTAGTGAGTACCAATTAAGGAACATCAAATCACTGGGCATGCTGTTCATGCTGATTTAAACAGGAGATGATTAGAATAAATGGATTTAATATATACATCTTCTCGGGCTTTAGCTATTCTGTCATAACGGCAGGGGCTAACTGACATATGAATAAACTAAGAAGGTTACCTACTTCCATCTTTATCAGAAGACTAATAAAAAGCAATAAATTTTAGAAAACATGTTTTGAGACATACAACTAAATCCAAACTTATCCACTAGCTATAACAGTTTATTGCAGGAGAAATTACAATGCAAATAAATACATTTTTGTCATAGCATTGTTGGCATTGTGTAGTTACTTGGTGTTTTTTGTGTTAGCTGATATGAAACAGACAGGTGTCAAGGAGCAGGGATGTTTACTTCTTTTTGGAGACTAACTTGAGAACTCTATAGGGGAAAGTCAGCTCAGAGGAAGTTTTGATAAGTTTTGATTGCAGAACAGCAAACAGGGAAAGTATTAAGTACCAGTTCTCAACATCCAAACATTGATCTTCAGCAATCTCAGCTAATTGAACATAAGGCAGCCCTGTGAGACTCAAGTGTCTCTGGGACTGTAAAAAGAATATGTTTATACTTTTTCTAGCAAAGCTAAGGAGCCTGAATTTTCATGGAGATATAATAGGGAGAGGACTTTTTATAGGGGGTACATTAGAAAAGCTGCAGTTTGAAGGTGTACTGCCCAGAATCTCCATCTACACCTTGTTCTGCATAAAGCACCTTATATAAAAGCAATATGGTTTCAACTCCACTTGTAATATCTAAGAATGCATTCATGCATTATCAAATACAGATGTGTGAAAGTGCTGTTGTAGATCATATTCATTACATTTCTCTCCTATCATTTCTCCAGAAACTTCAGGTTTTCTTTGTCTGCATTTTATCATTGCAATAATGCAGTGCAGTAGGTATAGCTGAGAAAAAGTTGACTGGACCAATATCATTCGTTCAGTTCAGAATTAAATGAGACTTAAATCTGGACCTCTGGCTTATTGCAACTGAATAAGCCAGAGGTCAGTCATGTTATTAAAAGCAGGGGAGCTTCTGCATGCACAAGAGAACAGTGAATACCACCTTGTGCAAATTCTGGAAAGGGACAGCTGCATTCATAAAGGACTAGTGTGCACATAGGATAACAAAGAGGATGCTGGCCTTTTAATTTGTTTTATATGTTGAATTCCATGAATCCATGACTTTAGTTTGCTTTCAGATTCATAGTTATCTCTTAGTTGTTCCACATTCTTGATGTACTACTTTTGCTGAGAAGAATAAAACATCCCATTGTTTGACATTAGAGATGGATATGAACTGCAGTTCAGTAGTTCTTCTGCACAACTGTTCTGTGGGTGCCCTGGCTTCCCAGCCCTGCCTGCTCCCTCAGGCACCCACTCAGAGGCTGCAATGCAGCTTCCCAGCCCTGCCTTCTCTAGAGAAGTGGTTCTCAAACTGAGATTACAGTTCCCAGAATCCTTCACCACTTGCTATGCTGGCTAGGATTTCTGGGAGCTGCAGACCAAGAGCATCTGGAGACTCAAGTTTGAGAACCACTGCTCCAGAGGAGTCCCACTCAGACGCATTGGCATGGCTTCCCAGCTCCGCCTCCTCCAGGCACTGCCTCTGAGTGGACGCCTGCCAGAGGAGGTGAGGCAAGGGAAGCCGAGGATTACCTGTGCAGCTGAACCACAGAACTACATGCCAATATGTCAGTCCTGTAATAACTTCTACAAAGCAGTACTTGATTATTGTACCTGGAGTATTGTGCTAAGTAAGATATCTACCTATGGTAAAATTGGATAATATCATGCATAATGAAGATAGATAGGAAGAATTTTTTTTCTCTCTCTCTCTTTCAGTAGAATCAAGGGTCTCTGGAAGGCACAGTAATCAAACTCGTAATCTCTGGTTTTACCCAACTTACTGAACTATCCAACCAATTTTAATACTATTATAAGGGATTTACCCATGGTAGAGATGAATAAAATAATGCATAATGAAGAGGAAGTGAATTGGAGAGAAAGTTTTCCTCTCTCTCTCATAATACTATAATTCTGGATCACATTAAGTTCTACTGAATGGTACAAAATTGAGGACAAACCCAAAAAAAGCATTTCTTGATGCATTGCATGGTTAGCATATGGAACTTTTTCCAACAAGTTGTCATAATTTGACAGTCAATTTAGATGGCTTTAAAGCAGGGGTGTCCAACCTTTCACCTTCTCTGGGCCACATTAGAAGATGAAAATTTGGTTTGGGCAGCACATATATTTGGTTTGGGCCGCATGGGGGGCCAGCCCTAGCCTTCCTCCGCAGCCCCGCTCCAAGCACGCTTACCGGCAGCTGCGATCTTAAACAGCAGAGGCTGCCAGCTTCGACTCCGGCGGCTTTATGGGGCTGGGAGGGATCCGCCTATTGATGGGGAGGGTGCAGTGCAGTCACACAGCCCCCCTGTCCCCTCCCCTCCCACTCCTTCCTTCCTTCCCTCTCTCCCCCTCTACTGTTGTGACATGCCCCGGCCACATTCTGGCCGCAAGTGCCGGCAGTGTAACTTGAAACTTTGGAATTTCTTTAAAAATAAAAAAATTGCACTGGGCCACATTACGAGCTGACCTGGGCCACACGCAGCCCTCGGGCTGCAAGTTGGACAAGCCTGCTTTAAAGCATGGAGATTCTGAAATATTACCAAGTATCAGGGCATCAATTTGTGGGGGGAAATGAGGGGTGGGTGTGTGTGTGTGTGTGTGAGAGAGAGAGAGAGAGAGAGAGAATGCCTGCCCATTTACTTCATATAAGCAACTGGTGGGCCACTGGGGAAAACAGGAACCGAAAGAGTGACCCTTCATCTCATTCAGCAAGGTGCTTTATGTTCGTACATTCAGAACTGTGTGTGACTAGGAAACCAAATACATGAACTTCCAGGTTAGCCCAATCTAAAAGCCACACAAAGTACAGAATGTCTCTAAAATGAATTAGAAAAAGAATTTACAACTTTGCTTAGATTTGTGCTACATGAAAGAAAACATGACAAAAACAGCTGCAGTGGACACAAAGCAGGCTTTGAAATGTTTGTTTTTGTTTTGTATCTGACTTTTTAAAATGCTGAGTGTTTAACTGTATCTTAACTGTAGGTTTGTTGCAGGAAAAATCATTTTTGATTTCTGCAGTGAGAAATAGACTTATTCTGTACCGTTTAAAAAACTTTCTTTAAAAAAAAATCACTGTTCTTTCTTTGCATAATTTCTGAACAATTCCTCTCCTGCATGACTTGTCTGAAATGTCTGTCTGTTCTCTTTTTCTTTTTAATTCTCAAGCTCACTATTTGGATAAGATTGTTAAAGGTACTGTATATTTGCACTTCTCTGAAATGCTTCCATGTACTTCTGTGTATATTACAGCAATCATTCCACTAGACTTGGCAAATGCAACATATTCTTATATGTACTCCATGAATTATAAATCTCATTTATGTTATTTTCCATGTTCCTTAAAGAGATAAATACTTTTAATGTTTTGTCACCTGTTAACATTTTTTCTAAACAATTTGTAAGTTTCACTATATCCTGCATAAATGGATTAGCTTTGATGGAATCAAAAAGTGAAGATAGCTATGCATTTGCTGTTTGTGGTTTTTAAGCCTCTTAGCTTTTATTGCTGGGAGGAATCTCCAGATTGTCATATTTATGAAAATATAAGAAAACCAAGTCTTTTGTCAGAAGAAAATTTCATAGCCTTACACTTAATACTAAGAGAACCATATATTTGTAAGTGAAATTAGTAGTGCCATTCATCATGATCCAACTTTACCATTCCATGTATACACAAGGAATCTTCGTATTTCCGTCCACTGTCACCTCATGCCTCAAGGATCCTTTCCAGAAGGACCTTGGCAGCTTCATGACAGACGCAGGGGACTTTTGCTTGAAGTGGAAGCTAAAAAGCGCTCGTGCTCAGGAAGAATACCACATGAGGTGGTCTGACCATTGAAGTTGGCAACAAAATATTATATATAATGTATGGCCTTTAGTAAGAAATCTAGCTTTACACTATGGTAAGGCTGGTGTTCAGGGGAAAGGGTTAATTCATCCATTTGTTGAGAAGTCGATCAAACCACCAAACAGCAAATGTTCTCATATCTTCAATTATAGAAGTCTGGCAAAGAAATATGTCTTTTTAATTATCACCGATAGTCCCCTTTTCCAGATTGCCACTCTTCTATTCCTTATTTGTGCTTTTTCATTAGAGTATGGAAATATTCATGGCAATATCCAGGCTTCATATAATCACTCTTGATTACATTAAATTGGCTGCAGTGTCTTGCCAATAGCACAGATAAAGCTGTGTGTCCTATATAACCGAATAGAAGAAACATTTTTCGGAAGTTTAATCTATCTTCTGTATGCATAGTCAAATAAGTAGATGGCAAAAAGTGCTAAAAGAAGAATGGGCAGCCCAAATCTAATTTCAGCCTGGCATGATGACATGATATCCATAACTATAACTCCATCATACTTTGTCATGAGACTCTAATATAGTTCCCTTCCCTCTGTAAGTACTAATTTTACTAGAGGCAGTGATGTCTATAGAGTTGTTTCATCTGTGCTGCAAATGGTGGAGAAAGAAGAGCGTTAATAATTATTTAAACAGCAATAGTGAAAACAGCAGATTCTTTCAACAACCTACAGGAGTAGGACTACAAGATCCCAGAGATAGTAGGCAAATACAGTTTATAAGGTGGTGGCACAACGTACAGTTCATGCTGTTTAGATTTCAAAACTGATTTGTAATATGATTTATATATTTATATATATATATATACCTATACATTTATATACAAACTGTCATCATCCTCATGTTGGCTGCATGCCAGGTTTTCATCAACAAGAAATGACAGATACTGTTTTTTATATACTGTTAGATGAAAAAGCAAGATCTTGGATATATTAAATAATCTTAATTGTTTCCTAAATTTTCCCTCCTCGCCCATAAAAGCAGACAAGATAGGATATAAAGGTAACAGCATAAAAGCCTTAGGGAGATTGTCACCCCCCAAAAAAATCACTTTCTGCTATCTGTCTTGAAGCACGTCACTACCGTGTTTTTGTTCAGTCTATCAATGTTTTATTGTGGTCCTTATGGTATTTCATTTTGTCCGTCCTAAGTAATCAAATCTGCACAGCTATTACATTTAGTTGGAAATCCTGTCGGTTCTGTCCCATCCGTATGCAGCCTGAATCCTAATGTTTGTTAGAATAGATGCTAAGCTGCTTCACTATTTCCTGGGCTTTGCTTATTCTGTGAAAAGGAATGTACTTTGGGCATAAAGTATAGTCACTGAAACTGACCTATACTTTGTGTAATTATTCAATGCACTGTAATTTCACATGAATACATGGCAACTCTGGGACCAGATAAAATTAATGTTCTCTTTTACTGGGTGCAAAGGAGCATATCTGTGTTGGAATTTGAGATGATTTATTTAAATCTACAAGGAATTTAACAACATCTGTATCATCAGGTAACCAACAATCCATACATATCAAATAATTATCTACTCTATAAGTACAAAAGTTCTATTTTTTTACCTGAAGGCTACATTGTGTGCTATGATTGCATTGCCTGCTGCTCTGCTAAAGAAAATGAGAATATAATTTTGTCTGGCCTGCAGGTATTTAGTAGTTTCTTGGATATATTTCCTGCTTGCACAGGTAAGTGGTGTCTCAAGTGTTAGACCAATCAAAGATGCCACTTAGTTAAGAATTAGAATCCCAGCAATAATGTTGCTGTTACTCTCCATGTGCAATTACAGTATTTGTGCTGTTCTGAAGGCCTGTTCCAGTAAGTGTCCCCTGTCTGTATTTTGATTAAATTTTAAATTGTTGTAATACTTAAATCACATGCAGTCTCCTTTTTTTCTGTTTTGACAGAGGGATGCCCTGGCCTATGTAATAGCAATGGAAGATGTACATTGGACCAAAATGGGTGGCACTGTGTTTGTCAGCCCGGATGGAGAGGAGCAGGATGTGATGTCGCCATGGAAACTTTATGTACTGATAGCAAGGACAATGAAGGAGGTAGGAGATGCAGAGTGAAATTCCTGCACTGCTAAAAAAAAAATTGTAAAATTATCGGCTTCCCAATCAGGTTTTAAAAAAACACTGCTGTGAGAATGATACAGAGCTTTTACTACCTGTGATGAGATACATGGAGGAATGTGCTACAACATTTATTGCCTTCATTTAGTATGCTATCAATTGCTTAAGAGATGGTTACAGCTGGCAAAATGTATATATCGAAATCCATTAGTGAACATTAGATTCAAAGAGGTAGTATTTTATCTAAGGGCAGAAATAATATTACTATTCGGTAAGCTTTATAGTAAAGCTGCATCCCAACAAAGAGTAGTTTACATTCAGGTAAAACATTCCAGATGTGCATATGTTGAGAAACAATTTAGCAAAAACTTAAAATTTTATCAAGATCATTGTCAGAAACAATTTCATCCTAATGAGTGTATTGTTAGCATAACAGCTTCTCTTTATCTGACTCCTGCTTTGGCTTATAGTTTTCACTGTTGAGGATCTTTGTGTTTTTCATTAATATACCAGCATTACCATACTTTTCCCTGAGTTCTGCCACTGTATTAATTTTTTGTTGCTTTTTCTTCTAGCTCTGTAAATATCTAAATAAGGCCCTATTCTCTGTACAGTTTTATGTTTTCATCTCCTCACATTTTCTTTGCCTCTTTCTCTCTAATGTTTCATGTCAGTGAAACCATCATTTGGAACACAGCCCACAAGGTGATCTGCTGGGAGTTGAGAAACCTCACTGCTTTTGTACTCCCAAATAATGAAGTAAAATATGAGTGTATTTGGGCATTTTGGGAATGGGGGCACTACAATACATGAGATTGCCATCTAAACTAATTTAGATGTGTAAACCACCTCCTCCCTCTATTTCTATGTAATGGAAGCAAGAGCTGGCATTCCTCCCTACCTAGTTTGCCATTATTATTTTTCAAATGTCTGTGTGTACACACACATGCATTCACTGTACTTCCATACTACTAGAATAAAACAGGCTAGGACACAAGCATTTGTGTGCATTTTAGGACACACACACCTGGAAATTTGTGCTGTAGCACTCTTATTTTAGATTTCTCCCTAGCAGGTCTTTAGGTTGCTTTGGGGGACTGCAGGGGGAAGGAGGATTGTCAGTCCTGGTGGGAAAAGTTGACTCTATGAACATTCAGCACAGGATTTTGGCCTTGCCCCAGAATCGTCTGGGATTTTTCTATTAGCATCAGCTGCAGTGAGGTGGTGTACAGTTGATGGGAGCTCATATCAGCTACAGATTTACTTCATGTCATCATTTATTACTAACTTCAGTGAGTGACTTCCATGGTTTTGAGTTCGTTGCTGTGGTCTCACTGGCTTTCAATTTCTGAGGATATGATCAGATTGCTTAGTTCTGTAATAATATGCAGCATGAATCTGACTTGACATGAGATACCTATAACATACAACTAGACTCACTCATGCTTTTCATTTGGAGACAGTTACATACTGTAGGTTGTCTGTATTCACAGTCTCTGATTGTGTTAGGTTTGGCTGTGCTGGGGATGTGTTTTATGGTGATAGGGGACCTTGGAACACATGCAGTAGCTGCATACTTTAGATCAGGAAAATAGTGTCGACTCCATTCTTTTATTGTTGGCTCTTCTATTTTAATATATTTTCCCTTTACTGAAGTGTTTCACTTATGAGCCCTTCCTCACCCTCTTGGGTATTGTTCAATAAACAGGACCCCTTGATTTCCACGGCACTGTCCCAGGATCTTCACGTTTACCTTTAAAGGCTTTGGACATAGGTCTTTTCTCATGGTATTTTCTCCATGGAATCGCCATGTTAATCTGTGGCAGCAAAATGGACAAAGGGCAGATTCCTATTGTGTCTTACCATTTACAATGGACCATTGTGTGAGGTTTTTGACACTTTTGCCACTCACACAATGAAGCATCCAATATAAAACCTCATTTCACAAAGAGAAATCACAAAGTTGTCTTTTTTGGCAACTGCTACTTGTTTAATGGCAAGCTGCACTATTCCCATGTTATCATACTGGCGAAACTTTCCCTTATGCAAACATTCCAAAGGATCTCAGTGAGCAAATGTTGTGGCATCATAAAAATTATGCAGATTTTTTTGTAGTCTTTTCTGGATTGCAGTATACTTCATGAGGTGCATAGTCCATAGAGTGAAGCCTCAGTTGGCAGGCACCTATGAGGGGATAGGACAAGAGGTACAGGAGATCTTAGCATGGTGGCTATCTTTAGCTGGTAGGAGTTATTCAATAGTAATTGATGAGCTGAAAGTGCATGGCCTTTTATGTAAGTACAGCTTACTTAAAGTAAAAGTTTGGCCCACCTTAACCCTCGTGCTTTTCTAGGATTTACAAAAGTGTTCTTTTGTTTCTCTGGTTTATTTGAAAACTTCCTGCCATTTACTTCTGTTTAGAGCAAAGTGTGGATTGTGGACCATATACAACACCCAACTCACCCATACAACCCAGACTTCACTCCTTTCTTCTACTCTGGAAGAAAGTGTTTCAACCAAAAATGGCAAAAAAGCCAGTCCCTTCCCATTTCTTCCCTAAGACCCTCCCCATCCAAGTCGTCTTGCTACCATTATAGGTGGCAAAGACAAGCAAAACCCTTCTTATTCTAGAAAATAAAAATCATTTCTAAATTATTACACAGGAAAATAGTGGCTTCAGATTGTTAATATTTACACTACATTTCCCATTAATTGCAGTGCATTAGATCTGCACAGGTTGTCCAGTTGCTTGAGAGTCAAGTATGTAAGTATGGCCTTACTCAGATCTGAAATAATGCTTAGGCACATAACTCTAGAATGCTTATTTTGTGAAGAATTTAGAATATTTCACACATATTGTTACAGTTATTTAAGCTCTAGCTTACCCTCATGGTCATCAGCAAGCAGGTGGCAAACAGTGAAACATGACCAGAATTCAATACTGTTGAATAATGTTTGTTTAACTTGCTACAGATAATTGTCACCAATTCACAAGGTCTTGGTATTCATCTCAGTTGCACTCTTGGGAACATGACCAGGTACACCATCTGGACCAGAAGACACACCCTTGCACCTCATCAGTTGTTCATAGTTAACCATGGGAAGTTACACAAATCTTCCAATAGGATTCTGGCCATGAAATCTAATTAGACTTCAGTCAGAATTGAGTGGAAATGAAACGTAAAGCAAATGAATCCTAAATATGAGTTTAAAGTATATAATGGCAGAAAAAGTAAGTTTTACTAATCTCTCTGAATAAAATAATAAAAATGAAATAAATGCTAGATGAAAGGATTTGTGGAGTGAATAAGAGGGAGCATCTCATACCAATGGGGAGCTGTTTCTCAGTCAAAAAGCATAATGCTCCGGATGAACTCTACAGAGGTGTATTTTTAGTTGGTGGTATTGCCAGGAGCTTTGTCTCTGGCTTCATCTCAAATTCATCTTTCTGGATTTTCTTGATTTCAGCATGGCTGTCTTTCCAAAATTTCTTTGCCTTTTTACAAGTCTACCACATGTGGTAGTATGAGCCTTCAGGTTTCTGACACTTTCAGAAGAGACCTGTATTTTTATCCATAATTTTTATGTCTTTTGGTTATATGTGCCACCGATAATACATTTTGTACCAATTCTCTCCTAGATTTTGACATGCCGTGAATTTTATATTTTTTGTCCATAATCTTTCCCATTGCTGAAAAGTTATCTCATTCCTAGATTCTGCATCCCCTTTAACATACGACATTGACAGGTTGCATTTCTGTTTCAAATTGAAATAGTAATTTATAGATATGTCCTAATAGTTGCTCACTTTTTGTACAATTATTCTCCCAAACTCTGAAAATTTCTTAATCTTCCCTTGTGTTGTCTCTTTATATCTTGAAATTAACTGATGATAGCATAGCTGTCTTATCTTTTTTTCCTTCTTTTATTATTTGCCATTATGTAATTCTCCCTTGTGAATCTGTCATATTCTGAAAAGTTATAAAATTGTGGCACATTCTCTCTTGCTTGTTGCAATATGTGTCTGTTGGTGCCATTATTGGAGACACTATTGGGCTAATCTTCAATTTTAGAGAGTCCTGTGTTTTCAGGAGGCTATCCCTGATTATATGGCTTTTATAGCAAGATTTAGTTCTTTTTTTGTATCCAAAAAGATCGTGTATGCCTTCACTTTGTTTTGATGATTCCAGTTTCATTAACCTGCCGTTTGGACTTTTTGTATTCAATCTATAATCCATACTAAAACTGCTGCTTGATAGTATAATTTAATATTAGGCACTGTCAGACCTCCTCTTTTCTTTTCATCTTGTAATACTTTGAATCTTATCCTTTTATTTTTATTGCTCCATATAAATGGATTTATTTGTCTTTGCCAGTCCTTTAAGATTTTTTCTTGAAATGTAATGTGAATCATTTGAAACAAAAAATTAAGTTTTGATAGTATATTCATTTTTATAGTGGATAGTTTTCCCAGCCAAGAGAATTTTAGCTTGTCCCATATTTTTAAATCTTTCTGTACTTTTCCCCATACTCTTCTGTAATTATCTTCAAACAATGTTTTATTGTTTCCCGTTAAATAAATATCTAGATACCTCATTGGTTTATCTGTGATTCTGCACTCTGTGAGTTTTATAAGATCATTTTCTTGTTGTTTTATTTAAAAGTTTGCTATTATTTTGGGTGGTGTGTTTTTTAAATTAATTTTAAAGCCAGAGTAGAATCTAAACTTTGCTATTTGTTCCATTACTCATTGCATTGAACCTAATGTGTTAGAAATAGACAAAACCATATCATCAGCATAACCTCTCAGCTTGAACTCACCGTCTGTTTTCAGGCTTCAGTTTGGCTGTCTTGTCTTATTTTGGTTGCAATAACTCAGTTGTTAAGATAACAATGGTGATAATAGCAACCTTGTCTAGATTCCTTGAATTCATTTTCCAAACTTTCCTCCAAATTCCAGATGTTGCAAAACTTTATTT